CATAAAAAAACGTTTTTTTCCCTCCAGGTAAATCTTCTCTTCAGTCAGTTTAGAAAACTAACAGTTCTACTTTTGTAAATTTCCTCCATCTCCTTTAGCTGCTCAATGGTCACCCGTCAGATTCACCTCCTCGTAATTCTCCAGACATTTTTTAGGCCAGACTGATATGGACTGCAGGCTAGTCAAAAAACAAACAAAAAAAACTCCACATACTCTACATTAGGGGTGTAAAACATAAGGCCGGCGGGCCAATACTGGCCATCTAGGGGGTTTTGAAATTTAAAAAATGCAGAAACGCTCCATGTTGATGAGGTTTGTGTGAATATGCTTAATTTATACTTCTACTTTTTTTTGCATAGAAACTAAGGAGAAAAATATGGACTTATTGTTAGTTATAGGTATGATTGTAGGTTATGATTGTACTGGTCCGGCCCATATGACATCTAATCAGGCTGTATGTACCAAATGAGGTTCACACCCCTGATCTAAATCTCTTTTTCTTAAACTTTAAATGCTGAGACGTGAACCATCTGACCACCAAACATGTCAGCACCTGCACCTGAGATCTAAGACCCTGAACAGTTTTCCACTCAAGAACAGGGCAACTCAGCAAAGTAATGACCAAAGGTCAGTTTCTAGTGTCCAACTAACCTAATTCATCACCTGCACCGTTTAGCTCTTTAGTTTAAGGTAAATGTCACGATTAAGGTACAGTTCTTACAGATCGGTGTCGCAGACTCACCTGCCGATACCGGGCCCATGGTTCCGTTCTTCCCGGGTTTGGACTTGCTTCTCTTCAGCGTGTGCACCTGGTCGAGCACGCGCTGTTGTCCCGTACGTAGTCCGCTGTCGGACGGAAGCGCGAGCGAAGTGTCCTCCCCACTTCCAACAGTCGTGGCCGATCGCAGCGGCTCTGGAGTCATCATTTTATCCTATCCCGCCGATAATCCCACAGATGAATGATCTACTGCTGGACTGAAGACAGACCTAAACAGACCCGGACTGTACCTCTGAGTAGAAGTGAGACCCAGACAGCGACGATCTGATAGCTGCAGACAGAAGACCCGCCCCGTGCGATCACGCCCATCTAGGTGGAAAACACTTGATCTACAGGGAGGGAGAAGGGTGTGTGTGTGAAGACGTGCAAACACACACACACACAAGTGTGTGCGCACAAACACACACTAACACGACCAGGAACGCCCACACGTTTATCTCCACTCTTGATCTGCAACCACACCAACAGATCTGGGGTGAAAAAAGACAGATGTTGAAAAGTTCGCACCTCATAAAAAATTATATTTATAATATTAATATTTATAATAATATTAATAATAGTAATACAAATCATGCTGGCTGTTTGAATCATTTTGTACTTCTACAATTTAACGTTTGGCTTTATAGACAGTTAAACATTGAATAAACATTTCATTTTGTATTTTTTTTTAAATCTTACTAACTTAATCGTTTTTCTGTACATTTAAACATTTAAATGTATTACCATTCATAGCACAAACTTCGCGTGAATAAACAGGTGATTGTGTCGTCAAACCACACCTTTGTCAAACAGGGTTCACTCAATAATATTCTTCAAATATATACACACTGTAACTGGTTCCGTTGTTTCAGATGCATGACTTCGTGTCACATGTCCGTATTAACTAATGAGTTGTTGTTTTTTTGTTATTTTGTTTTTTTGCAAAGGACATGAACAAACACAATTGTTGTATATTTACTTATCTTCTTTCCAGCTCCTGCAGTTTACTTCGTTGGTTTTGATTGAATTGTGTTCCTCTGTTGCCCCCTTCATTATTGCGCCACATATGCTGATTGGGATTAATTGCCTCCAGAATAACTGCGTACTGTTGTCTGTATCGTCTATCATGGCATCATGAGGCTCCGTGTTCTTTCAATATGGCCTCCCACCGCCATGTTGGAAAGCTGCTGGAAACATTTTATGTCTAACTAAACCTAAATAAAGTAGAATTTTGTTATCTCGTCACAAGAAACAAATTTAAATTAAATTAAAATATCATTAAACAGCATGTTCATATTAACCTGAAAGTTATTCTCTACTACAAAAACATACATGCTAGCTAAGGGGGAAAAAAAAACTATTTCCGGTGTAATGACGCTACTGAGGCCTTCCGACTGTTACTTATATACTTATATGACTGATAAGTGGAGATACATTGGTTGAAACTGAGTTACCATACAGGAGTAGGATCGGACAACAGAGGCGATACTGCCCTCTGGTGGTCCAGACAAGTACTGCTACTTAAATCGAAGTAATAACGTTGAAAATAAGACCACAAAACTAGAGACTGACAGCTGATTGCGGTGTAATTTTATTGGTTCATAATACAAAATGTTCCATTAAATGACTTAAGTCCTAAAAAGATCTTATTCAAAAACAGCCGCCATTATGTCACAAAACATTTTTTTTTATATTCCACATATTAAAGAGAACCCTGCCAGCAGAGGGCGACGGTATAAGGTTATGTTGACTACAAAGGTGCCAAAAAAAAAAAAAAAAAAAAAAATTAAATAGTACAAGAAAATAATAGAAAAGTGTCAGTTGTAAAGTTTGCTAGTGTTTTTCCCGGTGTAAATCTATTGCAGGGCAGGTGACTACACAGAGGTTTTGTGACACTTATCATCTGAATACTGTTTGTGTTTAATTAAGTACCATTTTAAAGTAGTGTTCCTTACGTCAGTGCTGCTACAGAAAAAGGAAACCTGTCAGTATTTTCTGTTTGTACATGGTACTGATACATGAGCCTGGTCTTCCTGGAGTCCCTGCTGGCAGCCAAGTTTACACGTAATGCACAACAGGCCGGTTCTATTGGCAGGGGACAGTCAGCTTCTAAAAACTTTAAGAAATCCGTTAAAACTCATTTACAGTGGGTCTGGAGGTAGACATCCCAAAGGGCTAGTTCTGAAGCCGTCTTTACATTTTTTTTTCTCAAATAATAAAATTGTCATTGCCTTTGTGTCAACATAGTAGTGATCTGTCCATAAACAACAGAGCGTCTGACAACCGACGTGATGAGCGTTTTGTACGATATAAAAGTGACAGAATTCCGATCGATAACGTCACGGCTAAATATTATGCGGTGAAAAACTAGTAATACTCAAGTGTTGATAACATCCGCCAAAGTAACAATAGTTAAATTTCAATGACTTAAAAAAAAATAAATCTGTCTCGCTTTGCAACAAAAAATGCTAGTGATTAATTGCAAAGTACCAAAGGGGGGCGCCGTATCTTTCTGGTAATGACAGTACAGGAGAGGACAGAACTCTAGTAAAAGTAAGTCATAAGAGGTCAAAGTGGAATTTACCATTATTACAATAAATTACAAATTGTTTTAAATGAAGATAATTATGATATCAGGTTTTCCGTTGTACCCACGTCTCTTGAAGTGTTTTTTTTTAAAAGACTCACAAAGGGCTCGATACATTTTTAGTGTTAAAAAATGCTGCACATTTGGGTCATTTATCATTGACACCCCCCCCATGACTTTCGGCAGTACTGCACTTTAGCCTCGCATCTAATCTTAGTGGATATAAAAACTTCAGTGTCTAAATCCTTTTCAAAAACAGTTGCGCTCAAGAAAAAGAACAAAAAAACAAACAAAAAAACCCCAATCTCATTATCACAGCATGATGCGACATCATCACAGCAAGACTACTCATGGCCCGCAAATCATTTCAACAAAGAAGTAAACAAAGACCAACGTCTGGCCAAAAATATATCATCTATAGTCTTTGGAGAAAACAAAGCCGCTTGACTTTATAGTTCTTTTAGTGTTAACATAATGACAGAAAATGTTTGTTGAAATTATTTGAAGAACCAAAACTCGAGGATCTGCGACTGTGACTCTGAGATCATTCGCACATTTGCGAAAAAGATTTTCAATAGCCTCGAACGCATTCATTACCAAAGTTAGGTGATTTTTTTTTTTTGTTTGTCTTTAAACAATGACCATTGCTCAGAAACGTTGTTTTCTCTTGTTTTGCGTCTTTTAAAAAAGTCCATAAACATTAGTCGTTAACTAGTCGGTAAACGTGGTGCTGAGCTCCGTGTTCGCTCGTAGACACTTCGAAGACAAAGGCAACACAGAGGAGAGTTTCATGGGTCTCTCTGTTGGACACCACCTACAGGAGACAAAGAGAGGCACAGCAACAGTGTGAGGCGAACGCCCGGGATTTAGAAATACGTACCATAGTCGTATTTAGACAGACCTGCAGGATAGTGAAGTTCTCCAGGACACTATTCATCATGTACTTCTCTGGCAGATGTTTGAGTTTGTGTATGAAGTTGATCATATATTCACACATCGGCGAACGATGGATTCGGAAAACGAATTTTCCTCCGTCCAACTTAGCATATTCCGTCTACAGATCAAACAGAGCGAATTTTTTTGTTTTTAGTAATAATTATTTTACTATAGCGCCACCTTGGCCACTTAATGTTAATCACACTATAGATATAACATTACTCAGCGCTGGCGTGGCCCGGCTTAGATTTCTTACCTCCACCTTTTCTACCACCTGTTTTCCGAAAGAACAGACTTTGGTAGAAATGCTAATGCTGATGTTTTCTGTTCCACTGTAGCTACTGTTCACACCATAGAACGCTCCAGAACCGTCCTCCACATCACAGCTCAGGTCAGCCTATAGCAGCACACGCAACAAAAGCCTGGATTAGGCAAGAACTACAGTAAAGATTTTTGTTTTTATGTGGCTAATTGATAAATGCTCAGCCAATCTGATACAACTCTCAGCTTTTGCTGGTGATTTGACTTAAACAATATAAAGTGTCTGACCCAGAATTTGACCAGGAAGAAGGCACCCCGCGGCCCTTTTTCATACAGTTCCTTCAGACCTCCCTTCTTTTCAGCAAACTTGTCGTAGATCTGCCTCACATCTATTGATTCCAGGATTGGGTCGTCAAAGCTCGGGTTAGACGGACCCATGTGCACGAAAAGGTGTTGATGCTGTCAGGACGACAAAATAAGGAATCAGTAACAGCAGAACCAAATAATGGCTCTAAGTAAAAAAACGTCAAGACAAACGTCAGTACTGTATCTCTGTCTCTCTGTGTTTCCATGAAAGCAGAATATTCCAGGAGCCGGAGTTTGGCTGAGGCGATGGTTCGATCCTGCCACACAGAAGTGGTGACAGCAGCGGGGCGAGGTGGAGGTGGTGGAGGCCCAAATACTGAAGATAGACGAATAAGAAAGTGATTTAAGGAATGGTTAAAAAAAAAGTTTTTGACAGGAATGAGTCAGTTCAGACTTGTACTCACTGATTGGTGGAGGAACAGCAGCAGGACGAGTGGTGTACTGCAGCTGTGCAAAGGGTTTGACGCTGAAAGTAAAGCAAGAGCCATTAGCAACCGTAACAGATTAGAAGAAGAAAAACCAGTTCAATGCATTCTAACAGGAAACTGTTAGTGTTTTTAAAACTGCTCTCAACCCTTGGAGGAAAACAGAGATTTTAGCTCAGACGATCCCAAAAAGTGCTACTGCTGCCTCTTGTGGCCACACTGTAAATCTAAACAAAAAACAATAAAACATTTTTTATAAAGTGGAATAAAAATTTGGTCGAGGAAGTGAGTTATTCTCATGTCGTTAGACAGAATTAATAAAAAAAACCCCACATATTAATTATATATAATTAATAAAATAACAGCTAGCGTTATGTCAGTAAAACTTACTCCTGTGACAGTCCAGATTGTCCTGGTACCGAACCTGGCCAGAACTTCATCCACGGAGCATATTAAAATAGAAAAAGAAAAAAAACAAACAAATCATAAAAAAACAGGTTATGTTTCCATCGGTGAGAGTTTCACCAAGTGTGTTTACACGTGTGTTCGAGTCTCACTCTAACTGGTGGAGGAAACTGAGTCTGCGGCTTGACGACGGTAGCGGTAACGATCTGAGCCGAGGACAGATTGGCAACTGTCTGCAGAGCCTTGTCTTTGGAAACCTGGTCCTGAACAAGAAGAAAAAAATGAAGAAAAATTTAAAGAGAAAAATAAAAGGTAAAAAATGTATAAAAGTTCGGTTTCAGCAAGCAGCCAAACTTCCTTCAACATCCATTAGCAGTAGAGAAAGACAGCAGAAATGCGCAGTAGAGAACAGGGAGCAAACCTTAACAATGGCATGAATTCAACTAAAGCTTAAGCATAAACAGAAGAGATAAAAGCAGCGACTGCAAAGCACAAAGATTAAAACTGTTTAATTGGTAAACTTACCAAGTTCATGGCCTGAGACAGAAAAGACACAATAAGCAATTAACATTAATCATTAGCCAATCAACTCGCTCTCTATATATATTCAAAACAAGAACACAATCACTGAAATTCATGGAGGAAATCTGTGAATATAAACAGGGAAACAGCAGTTTGTTGGTCCACTGCTGGCTCCATCACTACGGTCAAATGCATACATTTTCTTTATGAACCTTTGTGTGGTTTAAATGTGTTTAAATGTGTGGTTATGCCCATGATGATGAAAATCAAATGTTGATTGTGACAGGCCATAATCTATAGCTACTTTTCACAAGATTTTCTATTGAACAGTTCAATACAACATTTTCATGTCCAATACTGATACTGCAACTCGGAGTATCCACTACTTTCTTTTCTCATCCGGTTGCTACTGGCTACCATTGCTGAGGTGATAGTGTCCCTGTTTAAGACATGTCGCACAAAGTTAGCTTGGCTATAGTTGTTTTTTTCAATCGCACAATTTTGACCAATATCAGAATGATACCAATCCCGAGTATCGGATCGAGCAATCTCTACTATTGATGGATACATTTTCTGATGGAGCTCTATGAGAACCATTTTTCAAACTCAAACTATCAAACTCAAGGCCCGGGAACCAAATGCGGTCCAAACTCAAGGCCCGGGGACCAAATGCGGTCGGTCAAGTAATTTTTTATGGCCCACGTGATTAATTGTAGAAACATTTATTAATATGTTATGGAGTAGTAACATCTATACAATCTTCCAATTACAACTGGAACTTTATGGCTGATGTGGCCCCCCGGTGAAAATGAGTTTGACATCCTTGCTCTAAACCAAGGGTCACCAACTATATTTGTCAGAGGTCCAGAATCGTTCTGTTAGATGTTTGACTTTAAGATGTTAGATGTTTGTTTTTTGTTAGATGTAGTATAGAAAATATTGTCCACTGTCCAAATCTGCTACCTTTTCCCTGTTTTCACACACACACACAACATATTGCTCACTCCTGACAAAAGCAAAAGTAAAAGAAATAAAACTTAACGTGAACTATAAGAAATCCTTTCATCCAACACTGACAATATTAACTACATTTGAAAATCCTGTAAATTAAACATGTCCTGGCTCAACAGGAGAGTTTCATTACAGGCTCTGGTAAAACCACAGAAAAGAGCTGTAATAGTGAAGACATTATTAGGATTGTGGGAAATGTTTCAGAATTAGAATGTGGAGATCAGACAGGAAAGAAAACCTCTGCTGGAGCTTAATTCTGCATCTGTAGCTTTTCATGTGCATGTGCATTAAAACCAAATCACATGAACATGCTTTGAGCCGTGCTTTTGTGCGTCATGCAACTGCCAATCTAAAGCCAAAAACTTAAAGTCTTAATTTTCTACTGACCTAAACATTGATGTTTTTTTTTGTCCCCAATTTTAACCAGGAAACAGTCCATTCCTCACACAACAACATTGTAGACAGTGGCTTGACAGGGGAGTCAAAAGGTCAGCCAAGGAAACATGTTGGTCACTTAAAGCCATGCCTTTTATCCAATGGGAACTCAACTGTTAATGCTTTTTTTAATGGCTATTCGTAACGACCTCTGTAACATCTAAGAATTGTGAGATGTTTTTCTGTTTCTTGTGTCCAGCAGGATGTGACTGCATCTCAACAACTCGTCGTCAAATCGACAGCACACTTCAAACTTACGACTAGAGTCTCAGCCCGAATGCAAATCATAACACTGTTGATTAAATCCCCAAGGACAATTTCTGAGATCATCCAAGGTTTTTGCAATGTCCAAAGCTATGTACTGAAGTAATCAGACTATTAAAGTTAAAGTTAAAGTTGCACCAAGCCTTGACATGCACGTGGAGGTGTTCTGCCCATTCAAAGCCGCCTGCAGCCATAGTTGTCAGTTCTCAAATTGTAAAGATTGGGATGTGATAAGTTCTAATGAAAAAAAAAAACAACCTTGGACCAGAAAGACATGCATAGAGGAGCCAAAGCAGAAGTAGTGAGACAGCTTGTACCTTCAGCTCAGACTGAAACTCACGAGCTTTTCTCTTAGCCAAGACCTGAAGGTGACTAGAGACCTGAAGAAAGACAGCAGGACGGAGTAGGAGGAAAAAAAGAGGAAAGAAGAAGAAGAAGAGCAACAGTGACTACAGAGGAAGGGGATTGGTTTTTATGGAGGAAACCCACCTTGATGTTGGCCTGGTATTCTCGTACCCTCTTACGTGCAAGAACCTGAATGTGACTTGACACCTAAAGCGCCAGGATTACAACCAAGACCATTTAATAACAACATTATCAACAGTAAAGTCCTGTCCATTTTTAAAGACACATACACCATGAGGTGATTGTACCTGTTTGCGGGTGCGCGTCTTTCCTGTTCGTAGCTTGATGTAGCGAGCGATCAGCTCGTTTCGACCTTTAATAGAGAGTATTTACATCGGAGAGTCAGACGAGAGGCCGTTCCTATTGGCGATAAAGTTTTGACAGACAGGATGTCTTCTTGTATTGAAGACACTCTTCAATCAAACTCGGAGACAAGATGTCACCTTACCGTACATCTTCCCCTCGTCTGAGAGGATGATCTTCCTGCGCCCGCAGGGTGGGTAGATGGCCAGAGCTTCCTGGAAACTCTGCTCAATGTCTGCACTCCACACCCCCTCTGGATCTCCATCCAGTCCGCGGTCAGCACTGTCCACCTGCTCTTCCCCGTCTGCATCTTCATGCTCCTCCTGCGCCCCATCAGGGCTGCCACGACAACTCCACTTCGACGCAATGATGACGGCTCCGCCCACAACTCACCTGCGACCAAAGGGAGGTTGTTGCAGTAAAATACAACAAAAAACAGCAGATGCCGCCTGAAACACTGACAGTTTCACAAGTGCTTTTTAATCTTAAAACAACCGAAACAAAAGTTCAATTATATTTCAAGCGCTTCCGACGTATTTTTTAGCACTTTTCTTGGCACTTCATAGCATTTAGTTGTTAGTCAGTATGTAGTTGTTAGCCCGTTAGCTGATTAGCCTGTTAGCATGTTGCTTTAATAGCCGATTAGCTTGTCTGCATTTATGGTGATTATAGTTGAATAGTTATTTAGCTTGTTGGCGTGTTTTTGTTAGCTTGTTTATTTGTTAAGAATACGAGCTTGAGAGCTGATAAAAACTTTTCTAAAGTTGTTTTCTGTCGCTGTTTCGGGTGTTGTGTTAAAGTTTTCGGGATTTCACAGCGTTGGGAAGCGCGGAATTGTAAAAGTGTTTTTTTGTTGTTGTTGTTGTTTATTCCACCTAAGCAGCGTATATGTTGTATAGAACAACACGCACATACATACACACGCACACAAAAACGGACACACTGACCGAACTGTGTCTGACCTGACTGCGGATCCGCGCCTCCTCTCTGCCGGTCACTGTGCCACTCGGTCCCCGCTAGTTTCGCTCTACGTTCAGGCTTCCTTAACGGATAAGAATTGCTTGAAACCCAAAAAATCACATCTAGAAAGTTGTTCAACGGGAACTAATGGAAAGTACAAAAGTTTTAATGAAAAACGATTGTACAAATCGCAGAGAAATCAGAAAGAATCAGAGGCGGCGCGTCGACAGGAAAAAGAAAAGTTCTTTGTAACTCCTCCCAGGACGACCCAACGCTAGTGTTTGTGTATTTCCGTGTGTGTGTGTTCGGTATAACTATACGTGTGGGAGCCATGTTTTTTAAAAACACTGCAGTTGTGAGGACACTTTGTTTCTTTGGGAACATATTGTGGGTCCCCACAAACCCAGAGGGTATTTTGAGATTCAAGATTCAGTTACTTTGAGGATTAGAATTAGGCTCAGGTTTGAGTAAGAGTCAACTTTAGTACTATACACGTGTTTGTCATATAAAAAGTATAGAAACAGACCAGGGATTGCATCATATTAAATTTGAAATGCTCACACCACGTTCGCACAATTAGAACTCCTATTCAAAACGTCCAGTACAGTAATACGGCGGCAAAACTCAAAACGCGCACACGAAAAGAACAGAGTGAGATGTCACCCAGTCAAACCCAGCTCTGAGTCGCTCACTCTTATCGACTGCAGCGACAAAAAGTCTCACAGATGACAAACACAGTGGACGGTCTGTCGTCATTCTAGGATCCACTGCAGCTGTTCCAATCTCACGGCAGAGTTCGACTTTAAAGCTGTACTGTAGGGTTAAAGTTAGTTAACCTGGCAACTGAGCAACATTCTAGAATTATAGGTTTGACTATTTCACCTAGGACAGGGCAAACTTTTGGTGGAAAACAAGAAAAAAAGTCAAGAGTATTTGTTCTGGGAACAGCTCAAGGAAAGGGTTTCTGCTCGGGGTGATTTCACATATGTCCACCGGAGGGCACCACTGTCTTAGTCAGTAACTCAGTAACTGTATTACCCATCCATCCACTAAGGCTGGAGCAATCCCAGCTGATCCAGATCTGTGATGTAGAATATTTTTATATGGAAACAAACTTTAGTTTTGCGTAAAAATGGAATCTGGGACAACCAAATCTTTATGTTATAAACACGTGAGAAATGAAATTTGAAATAAAATACACATCAGCAGGATTTGTTTCTAATTATGTCTCTTTACCTGTAGCCTTTCAAGTCCCTTTTTAATGTAAATCTTTTTTCCACAGGCCAACAACAAAAAGACCAAAATGTATGTGCTATAACATAGCGCATACACCGCTAATACTACAAATCCTGCCAGTATATAGGGCTGTATATACTGACGGGCCAACTCTAGTACACATTTGATATGATCTTGCGGGCCAAATATAATTACATCGCGGGCCAGATTTGGCCCCCGGGCCTGAGTTTGACCCGAGTGTACTAGATAATTAACCTCAATTTTGGGAGGATTGGGCTTGTTATTAGAGGTTCCAAGCAATTAATATAATATAATATAATATAATATAATATAATATAATATAATATAATATAATATAATATAATATAATATAATATAATATAATATAATATGTATCGCTTTGTAATTCTTATTGTGCACCACAGGTATGTGATAAGATTTATTTTTTTTAGATATAACGTGTAGTATTATGTGTGCGTGTTTACAGTAGGTCTTTTAAAGTGACAGAATAAGAGAATGAGTTCTTGTCCTCGAGTGACCTGGGCGTGAGCAGTTCAACACACTGTTATCGGCTTCAGCTAGCACGCTCAACAGCATGACGATGAGGAAAGCGACCATGATCAAACACATGATACACTGCCAATTAAAAAAAAAGAACAAGACTGACACTTCGACACACTTCCTGTGAAAAATCAAAACGACGCAGTTTTTTTAAAAAAAAAAGAGAAGAAAAATCAGAATTTTCAAAGAAAACTTTTCTTTTAAACAGAAGCTCTGGTACACATTTGTTGCTAAACATTCTACATTTTTCGACGTATTCTGTTGAATCCATTTACCGAGTTTGTTCCCTTTAAATCTGGCTTTAAAAGTCTAAAATCTAAAAAAAAAAAAAAAACCTCTGTTCATTTCCCTCTGTCTTTGTTTCTCCCAGTCATTGGCCCGCTGCCAAAAGAGGCAGGCCTCCTGCGTGCAGCTGAAACTTTTATAAGCTGAGCAGGAGGACCTGAGGAGAAAAGTATTCAAAGGAGAGAAAAGACGACAGAATTTGAAGGAGAAGACGGAGAGAAGGAAGTGAGAGATCCAGTCCCTCTCTCTTTCACTCTCTGCGTCTTTCCCTCCGTGATCATAAACAGTTTTCGCCCATCCATTGTTGGCAAATGATGAATGAGGAAGGAGCAGTGAAGGAGGAGAAAGAGAAGTAGGAGTGAGGTGAGAAGGAGGGAGGAGTCCCAGTTCAGAGAGTTCATCTGAGGTGAGGAAATAAATTCATAAACAACAAGAGTGACGTGATAGCCGAAGCCGTCCGACCTGAACTGGAGAAACTTGGTCTTCGTGTAGTCTGACTGAAAGACACACGTGCCACCAGGCTCTCCACTGTCAATCTGTGTTTTATTGGTTTTTTTCCTTCAAATGGGATCTGTCTTGACAAAGTGGACATCTTGATCAACTGAGGAGAACCTCGCATTACGGAGCCTCTAAACTTGTACAAAGGTTGAATTGGACCAAAGATTATGATTAAAAAAGCGGCAGTCTTGAACCCTGCTGGTGGCTGGCCGCACGTGTCCACTTGACTCAGTAAATCTTAAAGGCTGAGTCATCACAATTACAGCCTGTGATCACCTGGTAGTGTTTCTAACTCTGTTGTATCTGTGACTGTGGGGCTTTTTGACTCCTCCTCTTTTACCGTCCATCCTCCCGAGCACAACATCCCGCCTTCTTCTCTCTATGTCTCTCTCTCCTTGTCTCTCTCGCTCTCTCGCTCTCTCTGGGCATCTGTGCCAAAGTGGGCAGAACTGAGGCAGAATGGAGGCGAACAGGACCCGGGGCAGAGCAGAGGTCGATACAAAGCCTGGCCCAGGATGATGAAGTGTGTGTGAGTTAGTCGGCGTGTGTGTGTGTGTGTGTGTGTGTGTGTGTGTGTCTCTGTCACTCTGTGCGCGCAGGACAAACGTGCTCACGCCAGGAGGAGGGAATTGTAGGAAAGGGGTGTTGCTCTCAGAGGGTGTGCTGTGCTCAACTTTCCTCTCCCTCCTTCCCGCCATCACGTTCCTCCTTCTTCTTCTTCTTCTTCTAGTTTTATTTCTTTATATTTCTATTTTCTCCTCTCCTCCTCCACCACCAGTCCAGTGTGGCCTACACACAGACTACAGGTATTTCATCCATTTTCAACCCGTATCATCTAATTCTGCTGCCTTTCCCTCCTCCTCCCCTTCTCCTTCGCTGTCTCTGCCCTAACTCCTCTGGTTCTTTTCGTCCTTTTTTCCCGAGCTGGGTCCTCGTCCGACATTCAGTTTTTTCCTCGTCAAACGCGCCTTCTTGTCTTCGCATGCCACATCCCACTCCGCTCGCCGCCATTTTGGCTCGAAACAACATCTCGGGGAAAACTTTTTTAAAAAGCTCAGAGCTCAATGTGACTCCACATTGACCCTGTCCTTCTGTCCCCCCTCCCTGGGCCACCTTTCAGTGTCTCTCAACTCCCTCTGACCTCTCCTGTCCTTCCTCTGTGCTCACAGGACACCAGCAGCAGCAACAGTCCTCAGTAAACAGTCAGTCTGTTGAGTTGCTCCAGAGACAGGTGTCTCTCTTTTTTTGTGTGGGGACAGACAATAGGAAGAGGATGGTCTTTTTTGGCTTCTCTCTCAGAGATCAGACCGGAATAGTTTTCAGGTAAGTGTGTTCTCTGCTGCCGCCGCTGCTGCTGCGGTGGTTGTAATTCTTCTTTTAATCATGAGACAGAAACGAGGGACGGTATTTACTCTCCTGTTCTTCTACAGCTGCTTGTGACCCAGTGCTTTTTTTCTGTGTGAAAGGTTTGATGCCATTCCCCCCCCCCTTTTTTTTACGAATTTTTGTAATCAGAATTGGAATTGGAACCCCACTGTTATCATGATCTTAACGTAGGTGGGAGCTAAGATGGCGCCCTAATGCCACGTGTTTGGGAAACAATGGCGAAATAACCTTTTCACACGACCGACACTTTCCCTCGTCATCTCCTTCTCCCCGCAGAAAGACGTTCTTGATCGGTTTACGAGAAAAACAACGAGAAATCTTCGCATCAACAAGTGACACATGAGAGAGAAAAACAGAGGGAACAGGGCTGACAGGCAGAGACACAGAGGGAGGGAAGTGCACAGGCCCCGCCCCTCCTCTTTATCCTTAGATGAACTTATCGTGTTGCCTCATAATGTTTCTGAGTTTTTTTTCCCCTGCTGGAGAGGCAGCCGGCCTCACTTCCTGTATTCAGCCTCCTGTGATCTTATTGGCTCTCAGCTATGCTGACCCACCACCGCTTTTTACTGAGGCAACAGGAAGTCTCTGTGCTGTTACACAGGAAGCTGCAGCACACACACACACACACACACACACGCTGTAGCATACTTACACGCAGCAGTGCTCTGTAAAGCCCAAATTCGAAAAACATGCCGTTGCCTTTGCCTGGAAAAAAAAAGAAAGATATTATTTTATCATATTATAGAATCCAAATTGATCTCGCACAACACTGTAAGATAATCCAAACCAGTGCTTCTCAAAGTGTGGGGCGGGTCCCATTGGTGGGCAACGGAGACCTGACAGATGGGGCGGAAGTTTCCCAAGTTTTCAAGTGATGATGTCACGACTTCACTTTTATTTTATTTTTGAACTGTGCGTTATTTGATGTTGTTGTTTTTGAGTCGCTGTAAAATATGACGTCACTCGGTGTTAGTTGAATTCATTTGAAATGTTATTTGTTGGGATTTTTTGAGGCTGGGAAATCCCCCCCCACCCCCCTCCCCCCCGAGCGGGGAATGACCAAAGAAATTTGAGAGCCTCAGAGTCCACAGCCATCTGTGTTAGCCAGGAAATTCTCCAAGATTGTTTATAAACATATATATATAATTTTAGTTCTATATCTTATAATTTTTTTCTATTTTTTGCGTAGCTAAACAGGCTTAGGTCAACCGATTGTCCTGCAGACCGTCACAGATACTGGGTTTAAACATTCGGATGATAACAGTCATGTTTGACACAGCTGAAACATTGATCATATTCGGCTACGTCACTTGTCTTGGACGCTAATCGGATGGCGTTTCTGCGCTACGCAGATGTTGTGTTTACGTTTCCTAATAATCACATGGATCAGCCTTCGAATAAAGTGTCTGTTTTAGGTGTACATTCAGCACATTCAGCAGCGGTTTCTGCACTTGCGTGTTTATTTTTCTGTCCACCCCTTCAGAAGTGACTATTTGCAAAATCAAAAAAAAAAAAAAAAGAAAGCTGAGCACATCAGTGAATTATGTTGTTGCCAATGCACTGAAGTGAACGAACGAACGAACGTGAATAACCTTGTGTCTTCTCCTTTTTCGTTACTTCAGGAGTTTGATTCTGGAGAATCGTCTGCTGGAATAGAAAAACCACTGCTGTTCTCTGGGATGAGGTAGTAGATTGAATAGTTGTGAGGTTTCCTGACCTCGTTGTAGGATAACTATACAATCTACTGTCTTTTCCAAGGAAACAGCTAAGTCGTCACAGACACAGCAGACGCTACAGTAGCCAGTTAAACCAATTCTGCTCTGTGACTAGGATTTTTCTTTTTTTTTTTTTGGTAGTTACAGGAGGGCGTTGCAGGGTTGATGTCGATGCTTGAAAGAGCTCACTGTCAAAGCTAAACTTTGGCTACAGCTCAGGACCTCAAACGTATCAATACCAAGGCTAGCTCAACAGAATATCGCACTCCTCTACACCACACTGTGACTGAACTTTATTTTTTGGCAATTGATAATAAATAGGGATGGTCGATAATATCGGACAACTGATATTATCGGCCCAATATTAGCATAATTATGTAATTCTATGTAAATATCGTTATCAGTTTTTCCTCCGATAATGAAACCCCAGTAATGCAATACCTGGGTTTTGCCAAATGAAGTGTGCCCTTAAAATAGTTTTGGGGGAAAAACGGCTGTATATGAAAGTGAAAGTCACTAGATGGCAGTGTTGCAGCTCCCTAATGTGTTGCAGACATCCCTAATAATAGACAAACATAAACAGAAAGAGTCTGAATTTAATTTGGTTTATACAAGTATTTTCCGCATCTACACATACGTACCCATGAATGTCTAAAAAAAAAAAAGCGGAAATAGAAAAATCTCTTGAGAATACGCTTAGGTTACTTTTTTAGTAAATTAATGCAAACTCTCCTTTTGTCAGTAATCACAGGACACAGTCATTTCATGACATCTGACCTCCAAACTGGGCTCTCTCAGGGTGAGGTAGTAGGTTGTATAGTTTGGTGGGCTCAAACCCTGCTCAGGTGATAACTATACAATCTATTGCCTTCCCAGAGGAGTTCGCTGATGCTCATCATCACTTTTAAAGTTTCTACATATCAAGATTCAAATGTGTTTTTGAAATAAATCAATTTGGTTTAAGGTACTATTTGAACATTTTTGTTTTATCACGTTTTTCTGCCTAGATTTAAAGATCCAGGAAACAAGAAAGTACATAAACAAAGTGTTGGTAATTTTTAGTATATTATATAGTTGTACTGCTACATTTGTGTTTGTATATTTGTTTATTCTAATTAGAAAAAAATTACGGGTCATTTGGAATATTTAAAATACTTATGTTGAATTTTTTTCATGCTCATGTGTCAGTTATGTTGCTTAAGCCAAAAAACTTTTTAAATTTTGTTTTTTATAAATATATAATATTTGACTTGTGTGTGTTTTTGTGTATTTTTATGTGTGCGTGCGTGTGTAGTGAGATACACCCCCCAAGTTGATATGACTGATACAGTAACAGGCATCTAAGATTGTTATCAACCATTTACTGGATTAGTTTGCATAAACTTTGCCTGTGTGTATTTTTATACGCGAGTGTCTGGTTCAGTTAACAATCTGTGTTTGCATGGATCTTTCAAGAGACATAAGGATGATTTGCATGGATCTTTCAAGAGACATAAGAACGAAAAAAAAAAAGAAAAAAAAAGTCTTTTCTCATTTGATTTATAGAAAGAAAAACTGAAAACAAAAACATACACGTAAATAATAACAATAAACACAAAAACAAACAGCAAAGCGACCAAAACACACTCACACGTTTGGTTCTAATTCTACTTATAAAGTAGATAAAAAAAGCCAAAACCTTTTGAGATGTATTTACATATTTCTCATTCCTGTTTGGTTCACGTGTATCTGGGTGCAGCTTTTTACAAATACTCAGTATTCATTTAGTCTTTCCCACAGATTCAGAATCAGCAGGTTGTGTCGTCATCTACAGTTACAGCAGTACTCAAGTAGTGGGGCGTGTCCCCCTGGGGGGGGCGCTAGGGGCTTCCAATGGAATATGGAACCCTGGACATAAGTGTACCACTGCTGTAATGCTTGAATGATAAAAAACCTCCAGTCACTAGGTGGCAGCATCTCATACAGTGGTTTGTACGGATAAAAATATACCTGTTATCAGGTTCAGTGTTTCAATTCGTGGCGGTGTGGATCGGAAGGGGCGGGGGTGTGAAAACATTGGGGCGTGAGAGAAAATAACTGAGAAGCACTGATTGGCTAATAGTGGAGGCTGCCTGCTGTAGATGAATGAATGGCCTTTTTAAGGTGCTTTTTCTGAGGTTGTGCTATGAACAAGCAGTTTCTCACTTGGTTTCCTCCTACGCTGAGTCTGTCACCTTTAACCTTTAACGACCGGACCCACGTTGGCTTTCCCTTTTCCCGTCCTCATCGGTCAGCTTCCTTCGCTCTGTCCGAGTCTCCCTGCAGACCTCTCAGTGTCTTCTCGTCGAAACGATACGTCAGCTTCCTCTTCACCTTCTGAATCTCGCCGGTGCGGGAGTAGTTTCTGAGCGCGCGCGTCATCTTCTGGTAGGTCATGGTCTTGCGGTTGCCCTTGCGCCGGCCCCAGAGCTGCGCCAAGCGCTCCTTGTTCTGCGAGGAGAACTGGAAGGTACCAGAAGACGACTGTACCCACCAGATGCAGCTGCGCATGGACGGAGTCTGGAGCATCTCAAACAGGAACTGGAACAAACGCACCTTCCTCTTACCTGCTGAGGGTTAAAGCAAACAGGACTGATGAAGAGTTCTGCTGAAGGTGAGTGCATATGTGTGTGTGCATGGGTGTATCTGAACCTAATAGTGGAGCCACAGTCAGAGCATCCCGGGCCTTCCGGCACCCTCTGTCAGTGGAATCCTGATAGTCCTGATAGTGGGAACAGCTGGACCCAGAGTCTGAGTCAGTGTTGGCAGAATAGACAACGTGATCCTGTTAAATAAGGCAAAAACGTCAAAAAGGGACTGTTCCATTTTTTTAATAACACAGGTTTATAATTTTTACACATTTGTCGTACAGAGATAATACCAGCGATGTCCGTTACTGTCGGCTCGATATTAGCATAAATATGTAATATCTGTAAGAATCGGTATCAGTTTTTCCTCCGATAACGAAACCCCAACAATGCAATACAGAATAGGTGTGGATGAAAATGGGGAAAAACGGCTGTATATGAAAGTCAAAGTCACTAGATGGCAGCATTGCAGCTCATTTTATTATTCTATTTTAGCCAGCAACTCAATACAGTGGTTTGTAAACAAATAAATCATTTTTTGTCCATGTTTCAAACCATATTGGCATATCGGCAAAAAGTTAATATCGGACAAGTTTTACTACAGTAAAATACTAATACAGTTATTGTATTTTTAAATTAAAATTGATCACAGTGTCAGGCGGATCTGTTTAACAGGAAAGTAAAAGAATAGTTCTTGTTCTTTTATGGACTTCGGTGTGTAGACTAAGAGCTTTGGTGTTATTTAATGACTGAGAGCTAAAGATTTAATGAAAGGGTTAATAAAAAAAACTGACCCACTGGTAAGGATGCCAGGCCGGGGCCGCAGCTTGATCTTCACCTTCCTTGTGCGGCGTTTGAGAGCCACAGTGCCACTCATACGCATGCTGACCCGCGCAGCTGTTCTCTGTAGAGACAGGCAGAGTTAGCCATACACTAAAATACGAAAAAGTACAAAAAGTAGGGGGTACTCAGCCTTTGGGGTGAGGGAAAGGGGGTGGGGGGGGGTGCAGCAGAAAGAGTTTGGGCTCCACTGTACTCACCTATGACCCTGCTGCCTGTGTAGAGCAGCTGTTGACCTGTGGTGACCTGGTATGAGCCCGAACTGTACGTTTGTGTGACTTCCAGCGAATGCTCCTGAAGATACTCCTCGATGACCTCCAGATCCACGTCTGGACATGTAGAGGGCGCTGCTGCGTTCCAGGTTCCGTGACCTCCGGGTATCCTGACCTCAGTTACGAAGGCCATCTGATTTAGCATCATCAGATAATCATAAAAAAAAAAAAAAAAAAAAGATTCATTTATCAGGCATAAGATTAAAAAAAAGACAATTTCTTTTGGTGTTATTACTGATAAAACTGCACTATTTCTATTTATCTAGAAAAAAGGAACTGATGTCTGCCTCACACACACATTATGCTATTATTTAAATAATATATATACAAATATGGAAAAAGAATAAGCTGACCTCAGTTATGAAGATAAGATCATCAGATAATATTCATCATCATCATCATCAAATAATAATAAAAGTCTGCTTCATTTGTCAGACAGGAAGATTTTTTTTTTTACTGACAAAACTATAACTTTTACTGACAGTATTTCTATTTATTAAGAACATTGGAACTGATGCCTGCCGCATACACATCATGTCATTATTGAAAAAAAAAAATAAGTTGACAAAGATTTAACTAAATATATTAGAGAAAAACACAAACAAAGTAGAGAAAAAAAATATATGTAACCCATCTATCTTTGTTTCTTTTTTAATGTAAAAAAAGAATGAACAGATCAGCCCTGCTCTATGATTGTTGATCTACGTTGTCGGCAGACCTGGTTTCCTATTTGTGTGTTTGTAAATGAGCTCCACCGCAAAACTGGGACTGTGTGTGTTTTTAGCTTTGACTAACAAATGTATGCAAGTGTGCATCGGCTCAGCGTCACATCATTACTGCTGATAAGATTTTATTATTAAGGTTTGTTGTTTTCATCCGGCTCATGTTATTTCCAAACTGTTTAAATGTTAAATTTGTTTTATTTATTTATATCATAACATTTTTTTTCTTTAGCAACAAGTTAACTTAATTCATCCATTGTGTAGTTGTTGTTTTATGTATTTTATCATTATATTTTTGTACATGTTTTTTTTAACATAATGCCTACAAGGTTAAAAAAATCAAGGTTAAAATAAGTTTTGCCTGAAAATGAATTCCAAAGTAAAGTTTAAGGAAAAACATAGATAAAATATTGAACCTTTGTATAATGAAAATTGCAGTTTTGAGGGTTGTAACAATAAAAAACTCAAATGAAAGGAATTCAACTCACCGTCTCCATTGTTGTTAGTCTGCTTTAACCTGAAACGGAAACAGAAGTATTTGAAGCTCAGATTAAACTATTAAAACATAAAAATAAAATCAAATAAAATCCACATACCTGTCAGACTGTGACGCGCACTCTCTCTCTCTGTTCTTCATGCACCGACTGGGGGGTTAAAACTGCCAGCGTGAATGTTCACCTGTGAGATACTAACTGTCTCCACCTGTCTAATATAACGCTGAGACTCCACCCATTCCCAACCTGTGATAGGAGCATTATTACAGACCACATTAACTTTCTGAAAATGGAGCAAAAACTAAATAAGTCAATCACTTGGTCTTACAATTGTTTTTACTGGTGTGTGAACTGGGAAAATGAATTTAGTTTTTAATTAATAATTACATTAAATTAATAATAATTTGCCGTTTTAAAAGATGGCATTTATGTAATTGTATATACTATATACTTGTACTACCATGTACACACACCTGTAATGTCCTTGCTAAACTGTCATGGTTAAAGCAGCAAAATGTCAGAGAGAAATATCACCGCACACACCTTTGCTAGAAACAAATAGTTACCTGGAAATATTGTAAACCAGGGAGGTCCAATAAGGAGATCGGGATCTACCAGTAGATCGCAAAGGGAGTACTGGTAGATCATATAAATATATTTTTTATATTAAATCTCTAGGACTAGATCAGCAACAATACGAGTATTGAATCATACTGTGCCATACGGCTACAGCTATTTAATCACAATATACAGCTCATATATATTAAATATTATTAACATGGGCGGATCACTTTAGTCTGGTCATTTGAAAAGTAGCTCCCAAGCCAACAAAGTGTGGACACCCCCTGTTGTAGACCGAAGGCCATTACAACAGATTTTTACAACACACACGTCGTTGCAGCTCTGATCTCAGATCTGTCACTGAATTTTATTAACATTACTAATTAAATCCCAAATGTCTTCATTAATTCATTTCCTCAGTTCACTGAACTGAAAAATTGAAAGTCCAGTTAGAGATTAGAACAGAATCAAGTTTGTGAAGTCCT